GTCTTGTTTGTGAAGAACAATTTGAGAAGCCATGGGCCATTTACTTACTTATCTGTAGTAGTAAGTACTTACTGCTTCCCTGTCTCTCACCTTCTCTCATATAATGTCAGTATTGCTTGTCTTTGTTTATTGTATCACTTGTAGGGTTGTGAGAAATTCCAGAATAAACCTGAGTTTTAAATTGCTATCTTTGGAGTAGATTGGTGTTCAGTGTTGTACTCCCTGTATCATCTTTAAATATTTAAATTGCAGACTCTCTGGCTGCCTCTTAAATTAGATCCTTCACTTAGTAGTTTTGACATTTCATAACCTTGCTCCTCATGCATTAAATATTCACCTGTTTAAGTGGCAGTGAAAATTTAAAATCCAAACCCATATATTAATCCAGCAAATGTAGAATGGAGAACAGCTTGCAGTGGAGAAAGAGGCTATTTTCACCTCAGTAGGACATATGCTAGAAGTCCATTGTATTTAAGCATTTCTAATACAGAATTTGTCAGTTAAAGCGAACCCTCTTTTGGGTCTTCAAGGGAATTTAGTCTTGTAGAACCAAAAAGATACTTGAACGCTTTCTGAAGATAGCCCCTGCATGGTTCTCTAGGTGCGTATGAGGGCGCCTGTACAAGACCTAAATCCATAGGAAAAAAAAAATCAGAATGGAGAAGGTTGCTGATAATTGTCAGATACAAAATTTAGTTTGGTAACTGATTTGAGTCTTCAGAGTGTGAGTCCTTATTCCACTATCAGCCTTCTTCCCACTTTGGTCTAAATACATTTTTTTTTTTTATAATCTTTTGAGATGGAAGCAGAAGTGTTTCCAGGAAAGGAGGATGTTGATGACAGTAATATCCTTGATAATGGAAGGGAAAGGAAGCTGTTTTAATTATAAGAAAGTAAATAAAGGGATGGGGTGGAACCTTGAGCCTTAGTCTGGGAGGAAGGAGAAGGCAATTACCCTTTCTTACATCTTTATTTCCTGAAAGTGAGTGGAAATGGCATTGCTTACTCCTGAGATTAGAAAGTAACAAAAATTAATTTAAAAATTCTAATGATGATATGTAGTTTGTCTGGTTAATCTTAATTAGTGGCCACTTCTCTTTTCTTAGAAAAAGTTACTCTTAAAAATATTAATGGAGCCGGGCGTGGTGGCTCATGCCTGTAATTCCAGCACTGTGGGAGGCCAAGGCGGGTGGGTCATCTGAGGTCAGGCTTTCGAGACCAGGCTGGCCAACATGGTGAGACCCTGTCTCTGTTAAAAATATAAAACCCAGTGTGGTGGTGCATGCCTGTAATCCCAGCTACTTGGAAGGCTGAGGCAGGAGAATCACTTGAACCCAGGAGGCAGGGGTTAAAGTGAGCCGAGATCATGCCACTGCACTCCAGCTTGAGCAACGGAGTGAGACTCCATCTCAAAATAATAATAATAATAATAATAATACGAAGTGGAATAAAATAACTAATTTTAGCAACATCCTGTTTTCTGTCCGTGGCCAGTTTTTCTGTGTATGCCTTTAAGAAACAACCAAGATTTATTTAATTTTTCCTAACTCTTAGAAGAAGTGAACTGAAAGGCTCATTTACCATAGTATTATGGAAGGAAAACTGGATGAGGAGACCAGGACACAGAAAGAGAAAGATCAGAGTTTGACACTAGAATTGAACACTAGTTGTGTATAACCTTAGACATGTTATTTACCTTGTCTATGCTGGTTTCCCCAGCTACAAAATGCTAATATGTATGCTGCCTACCTCATGGAGTTGTTGTGAGGCACAGACAAAATACGTAGTTTGTGAAAATGCCTTGTAAATGGTGAAGTCTCATAATCCCCTAAACGTAAGTTTAGCATTAAGCATTGTTACCAACATAAGTTTATATATAATCTAATCACTCCTGTCCTGCCTGTGGTAGTGGAAGATGGTTCTTTGACAATATTACTGAAAGAGACTGTTTTGAGAAGGTTTGTCTTGTAGACTTTTTAATGTGACTGGGAACTAAAGATGCAATATAAACTGAAGAGTGGACATTGGAAAAAAAAAAATCACGTAACTGACCTAGGTATGTTTTCAAAGCCTTTATATAAGCACTAAATATAAACCCATTTTCCTAAATATATTTTAGGATGACTTTTAAGACACACCACCTACACTCATCTGAATTGTACAAAGCGGTGAATGTCACTGCATGAGTAAATTGTTCTGGAACACTGTAATGGACCCAGGTTTCTCTCTAATTTAATGGGCTGGGTATTTACCTAAATTTTCAGATGCATGTAGAGGTAAATAATATTTATAATGTAGTCACATAGGTTTTTAGATTCTGAAGCTTTTCATGTGGATTAGAAATTATTTATTCCTAATAGCCATATAAAGAAGGTAGAATTGTGGTAATAGGCTTGAAGAACTTAGTTCTAAGTTCACAGAACTGGTGATGAATTAAACCTAGTTTTGAGCCCAGGCACACTGATCAACCATTACCTTTAACCACATTTCCACTGCCTCCTGCGACACTTGATCTCATGCAGAGCCTGTCTCCTGCTGCTGCTTGCTTCATCAGTCGTTGGAAGTTAGCCTCCTTGGAGAATGTGTAGATGCCTGCCCTGGAGCCCATGGTACATGGCTCTTCATAATGGGAGTACTTTAGTCACATGATCTGGAACAGAGTAACAGCTGACTTGTTGAGTGCTCCCTCCTGTCGAAATAAAGCCATAGAATCCTAGATAGGGATGCAGGTCCCAACTGGTGGGGTTTCAGCTTTTCTGAATAATTGAGAATCTTACAACAGAAAAGAAATGAGATTTTCATTGATTCATATTACTGAATGCATATATAATTCATTGGCCTTATTTCATCAGTTTATGGCAGTCCCAAGATTTGATTCCATCTAAGTTATATCACTTGAAATTGGCCACTTGTTTTTCACGTACATTTGAGTTCCCCAGTCTTCACTGTTCTTAAGTATTTAGGCATAGAGAGAAAAAGTACTATATGAGTAGTTATGTGTGTTCTCTCCACCACTATTCCAAATTCCTTGTTTCTGTAGGACAGGACAGTGCTAATATAACTTCCAAATACAGCCCTTGGAACAACAGGTATATTTTCACTTGTTGATGAGCGAACTGTTTGAATAAAGAGGAATATTAAATGTTAACACCATTGGGGCAGGGGTGTGAAAGTTAACAACGTCTTTATAAAGTAGTATAAAAATTGGCTTTTTTTTTTTTTTTTTTTTTCTGGAAAGCCAAGAAAATGTGGCAGCAGAGCTGTAGGCACAATTCAGATTATGGGGAAAATGTTTGGTGTTTCCTACCTAAAGTTATTTCAATATTAGTGTAAATTGGGAAAGTTTGTTTTTAACTGGATTAGAGGTGGGTGCCAATAATAAAATGAGCAGGCAGTAGTTATCACTATACCTCAGCAAATCAACCCCAGACCCATTGACCATTTTTAGGAATAATCTGGAGGATGGGGTATGCTGTGAAATATCTGTCCCTTGAAGTAAGCTAGTCCAGAATATTATAGCTAAACCAAAGGGAATGTGATCAGGAATAGCTCATGAGACTCAATGTTGGCAAAGATAGGTGATAGCTAGAGAGCCATCAATTACAATTGGGGCAGGAGATCTGGATGACTTGAACTGACCCTTAAGTGTTCTGGTTCAGTAAGCCGTTGTGGATCTGCATGATCAATGGGGTATTATTGGATGGGCTTTACTTACCAAATATGTTAGCATCTGTCACATGTCAGGCATTCACTAGTCATTGAGGATACAGTGGTGAGCAAGAACGATAAGGTTTCTTCCCTCATGGAGTTTACATGAGGAATGATGATTATAAACAAATACATGCAGACCTATTTTGTCTTTCATCCTTGTGGGATTTTGTATACCATATCTCAAAAGACATGAAACTTTTGAAAGTACTCTCGATGGCAGGTAAAGTTAGTTATAGGGACTTAAGACCTTTTGAAAATTAAGGTTAAAAAGACCTGTGGATGAGAAGACAACAGACAAAGGATAATGAAGGCTTGTTCACACATTCAAATTTCTGGGAATTTGTGGACAATGATATGGACAATGATAAGGGTGAATTTTTTTTATAAATGTAGCACTACCACCCACACAGATAGGAGAAGCTAGAAAACAAAAAATGTCTCCATGAATCTGGAATCTTTAAGCTTAGAATGATTGGGCTTAAATCCCTATTCTAGGGCAGATGTTCCCAGCCCCTGGCCGTGGACTGGTACTGGTCCGTGGCCTGTTAGGAACCGGTCCACACAGCCAGAGGTGAGCAGCAGGTGAGCCAGCATTACTGCCCTAGCTCCAACTCCTGTCCGATTAGCTGCAGCACTGGATTCTCATCGGGGCACAAACCCTGTTTTGAACTGCACATGCGAGGGATCTAGATTGTGCGCTTTTTATGAGAATCTAATGCATCCCCCACCACGGTCCATGGAAAAATTGTCTTCCACAAAACCAGTCCCTGGTACCAAAAAGATTGGGGACCACTGCTCTAGGGGTTTGGCCCCACAGAAGACAACCTATTATCGTGAATAGTACTATGCTATATGCACCACTGGTCTGTGTAAAGAACTTTAAATTTTAGTGAATTAAAACTGGATTAAAGGTGGGTACAAGTGTTAAAATGAGCAGGCAGTCGTTATCATATCACTATACCTCAGCAAATTGATCCCAGACCCATTGACCATTTTTAGTAATAATCTGGAGGATGGGGTATATTGTGAAATTTCTGTCCCTCGCAGTAGGCTAGTCCAGCATATTACAGATACTCTCCTCTCTCCACCCAGGGGAGAGGGAATGGGAATACTACTACCTATGTGTCTAGAATTTTCCCAGAAAAGAATAAAGCATTTAGCACGTACCTGACGTGCATGAACTTCAGTGTTCTATGCTCTTTATGGGAAAGTTACTGAGGCAGTTTTTGAGTTTCTAAAGGGAGTTGAGTGAGCGTGCATATACATTTAGTTTTATTTTCTTTTTCCAGGTTTCCTATGCTCGCCCAAGTTCAGCTTCTATCAGAGATGCAAATTTGTATGTCAGCGGACTTCCAAAAACAATGACCCAGAAGGAGTTGGAACAGCTTTTTTCACAATATGGACGCATTATTACTTCTCGTATTCTTGTCGACCAGGTCACTGGTAAGTAGATAGCCACTCTGGACAGTCTTTCCCTGTCTCTGACTAGCAGATTGTGAAATATTCTGTCTTTCCATGTAGCAGTCTTGCCGCTAGAACATATCAAAGGTATATGTGGGCCAGAAAATGCAATTTTCTGCTGTAATTGTTCATAAATATGCATGGATAAAAATAGATTGTGGCGTATAGTGAGCGTGCTTGAGTCATTCCCACCCCGAAGGTGCAGGTTTGAAGCCTGTTTCATGGCTTGTAATAAATTTATAGATGCTATAATCTTCATTTCCAAGCCACTGTGTGATAAAAGCCCTCATCCTGCTTATAAAGTACTAATAAACAATCTTACTTTTGTCAAAAAGCGAAGTTTAATGCACTAGTATGCAGCTAGTTCTCCAAGGGAGGCTTACACTACATCCACACTGGTAATTGCTGTTCAGGCTGTTTTCCAGGTTCATGCTGTGCTGTATGGGCATATGTAAGAGTATGAAATTTTGAATGTTAAAAATTTATTTTATTTCTGATACCACTGTTAACCCAACTGAAATGGGAAGACTAAAATGTTCATTAAAACTTTTGAATGTAAGGGAGCTGTTTTGCCAGATCTTTTAGTTAAAGCTAGCAATGTAGATTTGATTATGGATTTTAAAAATAAAATACAGATATAGTTTTCTATTATAAAAGCAATACTTGGCCAGGCGCGGTGGCTCATGCCTGTAATCCCAGCACTTGGGGAGGCCGAGGCGGGCAGATCACCTGAGGTTGGGAGTTCAAGACCAGCTTAACCAACACGGAGAAACCCCATCTCTACTAAAAATACAAAATTAGCTGGGTGTGGTGGCCTTGCCTGTAATCCCAACTACTCGGGAGGCTGAGGCAGGAAAATCACTTGAAGCCAGAAGGCGGAGGTCACGGTGAGCTGAGATCGTGCCGTTGCACTCCAGCCTGGGCAACAAGAGTGACACTCCATCTCAAAAAATAAATAAATAAATAAAATAAAAGCAATACTTGTTCTTTAGGAAACAGTTAAAAAAAATAGAGAAACATCGTGAGGGGAAAGTATTAGCTGTAGTATCATAGACTGAAGCAGACACATGAAGATTTGTGAGGTTGTTTTTGTTTTTTTAAGGTAGCTTTTCTCCTATTTGTTTGTTTGTTTCTCTCTCTCGACCCGCATAATGATAATACCTTGGAGGCATGTTGTATATTACAATGTCTAATTTTTTAAAGAAATGACTTCAGAAGAAAATCGAGCCAGATTTTTTCATTAATCAAGATCCATTTAGTTGATTTCAGTGTAATCAGAGGAGCCCATATTACCTGCCTCTGTGCTGTTAATTGGCTTCATAGGAAGCACCACGTTTAGAGTTCTGAGTAGAGAGAGCTAGCACTATATGCATGCTGGGAGAATAGCCTAAAGATTTTGCTGTCATGAGAATATTTAGTCAAGTGAGAATATGTAAAATACAGCCTCCTTAAATGTGTTAGTTAATTCATAATACTCATACGTTGCCACCCTGTGTTATTGTCACATAGACTAATAATGGTGTTAAATAGAAATCCAGGCCTAGAAATACAGATGAATTTGTTGAAAGCAACAAAAATGTATTTTATTTCATTCATGCTTTCTATTTCATTTGTTCTGAGATCTTGTGAATTGAGAGTAGGTTTCACCTGTGACACAAAGTGCGTCTCCTTTTACCTGCTAGTCCATCACAGGTGGACCTAGCTTGTTTCAGTCAGCGGTTCTCAAGTATGTCCCACACCTGCCATATCAGCAGTCTTCTGGAACCCTACTAAAAATGCATTCTTGAGCTTCATTCAGAACCTACTGAATAAATCTCTGAGGGTGATCCACAGGTTGTTCTTATGTGTGCTCAAGTAGGAGGACCACTGGTGTAGGTGACTCAAGCTGTGTAGAGGCTGTTTTTTTGCTAATCTAATGCTTTTCTAATGAAACAGCTAAATTCTAGGGGTTATTAATTCTTAATGGGCGCTAGTAGATAAGTGTAAAGATATATTTGCTATCATTTCACTATTTATTCTTCATACCTAAGGCTTTCAAAGTGAACTTACTCAATTTACCTGAAATGAAAAATGAAGCCCTGCAATTTTCTTATTCAGCCATCAGGTGGTAATAATGTGCAATGCATGCACTTTAAATAGAAAAGGTAAAGTGATAGGGGTTATCTTAGATATGCATATGTGGAAAAAAAGCTTTATCTACATTAGAAAATTCTAAGTCATTGATCTTATACAGTATTAATTTTAAAGCAAGTAGACCTTCATTTTTTTTTTAAGTTCCTCCAAGCATGATGGTCCAGTGCTTTTTCTCTGCATACCTTTCTTAGTAATCCTGTTATTTTTTCTTCACTGACATACTCTGAATCATCTGTACTTTCTTGCTACTAGTCTAATCCGGTCCTGCTAGTACTCATTTACTTGCCAAAAAAAATTTCCCTGCCACTGCTTATCTCATGATGACCAGCTGTGGCCACCCCACTGGCCTGTTCACGCTAATTAAATGGAATGAGCTGGGTTTCCCTCTACAATTTTTCATAATCTGGAAAGGTTCTTGGCTATCCTTCTTTCCCATTTGTGTCTTTCACACTGGGGAGAATGTGGGGCAGGGAGTGATCTTCTGTAGTCAGGAGTGATGCTGCTGAGGTCAGAAAGCTTTGATGCTTTGCTTGTAGAAATTTATTTATTTTTAAAATCTAGGTCTTTTTCTCCATATAATATTATTTCTGTAATAAAATACAGCTAGTTAGAAGCACAAGAGAGCTTCAGAGAACTGGAAGAGCCTCTCAGGTGTTTTTTTCCCTAAAGGACCTATATCCTGTGCAATATTATTAAGCTGAATATATTATTTAAAATTTCAACTGAAGTGTCTTTCTACCACAGTGTATGTATTTTTAGCATAGCTTTGTAGCATTTTTAGCAAATTCTTCTTTCTGTTCTCCTTGTTTCAAGGACAGGAGCTACTGTGTCCCTCATTTCTGAGCTGCTTGTCCAATAGCACAATTTGAAAAATGGAACTCCAGTATACTGTTGACATTAAAAGAGTGTACAGGAGGGAGGTGGGAGAGAGAGAAAACATGGACATGCTTGTGCTTTCTTGTCTTAGCTTATTGGAATGCATGTGATAATGGGTACTCAGATTATATAAGTGACATGAATTTTTCTGAAAATGCGAAATTGTGATTCCAAACTGAATGGCTAGTAACTTAAGGGGAAAGTTTCCTCCTTGTGTGATTTTGTGGCAAATGTTATATGCAGGTGAAAACATGTTCTCAAGAAGGAAAAATTAATGTGTCCTTTCTTCTCTCCTTCCCTTCTCCTTCTGTCCCCTCTTTTCCAAATCTTTACTCAAATCTACCTTAGGCATATCAAGGGGTGTAGGGTTTATTCGATTTGACAAGCGAATTGAGGCAGAAGAAGCTATCAAAGGCCTAAATGGCCAGAAACCTCCCGGTGCCACGGAGCCAATCACTGTAAAGTTTGCTAATAATCCAAGCCAAAAAACCAATCAGGCCATCCTTTCCCAGCTGTACCAGTCTCCAAACAGAAGGTATCCAGGACCGCTAGCTCAGCAGGCACAGCGTTTTAGGTAAGTCTGGTTTGGTTCTTGTGCCCACCTACTAAACTGAAAGAGAATACTCAGGTTTACTGTCCAGTACTTTTATTGACAGGATCTCTGGTTTGCTTTTGTCAGTGTTGCTGCTTTTATTATTAATTTTTCTTCTTCATGGGCACAGAGAGAATCTACTTGAGGAATAGTGTCTTTTGCTAATATTGGAAGGTAGAGACCAAAGGAAATAACCTGCAGCAGTGATTCTTAACCAAGGGTGATTTTGCCTCCCAGGGAACATTTGGCAATGTCTGGAGGTATTCATGTTGGCATAACTTGTGTGGGGTGCTACTAGCATCTAATGGTAGAGGTCAGGGATGCTGCTAAGCTCCTACAATGTACAACATAGCCCCAACAACAAGAAGTTACCTGGCCCAAAGCATCAATAATGCTGTGGTTGAGAAATTCTAATCTGTAGATTTCCAGGGGGTCATCTTAATTGTTTTCAGGGCTTCAGATTTCCTCTTTTTTTTTTTTTTTTTTTCTTAAAAGATTTTATTCTCATGTGTCAGTTTTTAGGTCAAGCTGTTTCTGTTACTTCACTTTATAATATGTGCACAGTTAAGGATATATAACCTATGTGACTACATTAAGTTTCTACAAATGAGTTCCTGTCTTCCTTTTTAAAATTGTTCATAAACAGGTTGGCAAACTTTCCCTGTAAAGTACCAGATAGTAAATATTTAACTTTATGAGTTATGGTCACTGTTACATCTGTCTTGTTTTTTTGTTTTTGTTTTTGTTTTTGTTTTTTTCTTAACCTGTTAAAAATGTAAAAACCATTCTTAGCTTATAGCCCATACACCAACAGGTGACAGGCAGTCTCCATTTGGCCTGTCAGTTGTAATTTACTGACCTCTCTATAGTCCATAGAATGACCATGGCTTTAGCCCAAAGAAGACACTCTGTCTCATTGACAGGCATAAATAGTCTAACTTTTTAAGTTTTATTCTGATCCCGGAATAACAAACCAGGAGTCATTGAAAAAATCTCTAATCTGCATGTGAGAAGAACAATGACTTTAAGAAGTTAAGCAGAGCAGAGAGTTTTTGGTTTCATAAGCAAGTCATGCAGTTTTTATTTTCCAGGACATTTTTAAATATCCTTTTTGGCCATATGGTATACTACACCCAGAATGCTATCTAACCCCACACTGATTTTTAAAGATTATTTCCAAGTGCGTATCAATTTTATTTAATTCCTGGGACGGAATAGTTAATTACCAAAAATAAAATCACAAATACAACCTAATAAGATCAAGGAGTTATGTTTTCTAGATTAAATCTATGCATTTTTTTTTTCATTGGAATATTTACAGTGCTGAAAAGAGTGGAGATAAAATCAGTCAAAGTAGCTCCTTTTAAAAAATACTAAATTATGTTGCTTGAGATATGAGAAGGAAATTTGTTATAAATACCACATTAAATTTCAACTTAAGTTGGCCTTTGCTGTGGGAGAAGAGGTGGTACTGTCAAAAGGCTACATCTGAACTCTGGGTTATTAGGTTGCCAGTGGATCGAGCCTTGTACTTCATGCTCTGCTATGAGGAAAAGGCATTGGTTTAAAATTAAAAAAAAACAACAACAACAACAAAAAACCTTTGCCACCTTTGACTTCCCATGGTTGTTGGTGATCAGTCTAGAGTGAGAGATGCGTGGGGCTGCTTGATGCTTGCCTTTGTGGAGAAAGAAGTCTCACACAGAAAGCCCTTTTCCAGCTCTGCACATAGGTTTCCTCTGTGACATCTTAAGTGAATAATATATGTGTAAATATACTTTTAAAAATGCAAATGTAGAACAAACAAGCCTGAAGGAATTTTACAGGTTATTTCCTAGGCAGCTTGTCCAGTTAATTTCAGAGCTCTTTGGGGCCTTGAAAATGATCTCGAGTTTAGATAGAGGAAAGTTCTTCAAAATGTGTTGGTTGATTTTTAACATTGTGAAGTTACAAAATGTTTGCTGTTAGTAGAAAGCTATATTAGTTATTTTTTTCCTGATTGAAGCAATAGTTTTGTTTAATAGTTATTAAGAAACAATGTTCTTGAAATCAAGATTGAGTTCTTAGGAAGATTGAGCAGGAGGACTGAGAAGACAGGATTTGGGGAGTGCCTGATTATTGAAATGGCAAGGCTTGTAGGTGACTCAGGTGCTAGGTTGTTGATGGGTGTCAGCCCTTAGGTTTACCTAGCCTCCATCCCTGTAGGCTCTGTGCTTTTTATTTTTGGTTGGGTAAAGCTTTACAGGATGTTCTGATGGTCAAATTTAATTATCTTTTTCTGGCCCATTCTGTGTTTTTGTCTTTTAGTACCATATGTTATCATTAACTTGAAAATTCTCTTTCCTTGACTCCTATAGAAAGACATTTTAGAAGACAAGAATAAGAGATTGTCAGTTGTAAGGGAAACTTGGTTTCAGAAAATGGGAGAAATTCTTACTCTCTCTCCAGATTTTTAACTGTTGTCCCGTTCACCCCATTTCTCATTCCTCCCACGATCCCTGTCCAGATAATACAATATGAATGAGTTAGTGTGCTCAGAGATAGTGTTTGATCTAGATTTGGTGTGTTGGAAGAAATTAGAATTCAGGTTTAACCTGATGTTTGGTGCTTCCCTTTAATACGGTGTATTGAACTTGGCTGTCATCATCTTGGTTTCCGCCCCACTCCCGCTTCTTCTTTCACCTCATAAAGACACTTGAATTAAGGGTTTGCTGCTTTTGTTGATATTTTGCTGTTTTCTATAGTTCGAGTCTAAACCATTGCACAGATATTTTGTCCCTGATATTTGTGTTTTATTGCTCTTGCCTTGAGTTTGTCACCTTTCAGCAGACATGTAGAAAATTTCTCACTGTATTTTTTATGTTGTAATAGTACCTTGGGAGTTGAGAGAGATTGAGGAATATAAGTTATATGTATTATAGTCAAGAATACTTTTAATAATCATAAAGTATGAGCCATATCTTTTAAGGTCAAAAAACTTAAAAATCCATGTAATAAGGGTTAAGTTTAAAGGTGGGCTTGTGAGGTTTATGGCTTAGTCAACCCATATGAATGATTAGAGAATTATTGTAATATGAGCACTGCTGGTCTAATATGCTTGTTTAATTGACTGCAGCTTTCAAAATAGGACAAGCCTTATTTATTTGGATGGATGGTGTAATTCAGGCCCCTTAAGTATATTCTTGGGACATGATATCAGAATTACACTTTAGGCCAATTTTTTTCATGTTCTTTTCTTGTGGAGCGCTTTAATTTTATTGAATATGACCTAGTCTAATGGCCTGTGTGCCTGCTTCTATGAGCCTTTATGCAATTTTGAAAAAGCCTTTTAAATCAGCACTTGAGTTGCCTTTAAGGCATGTGCTGGTTGCATTATCGCAGTTTCCTTTTGGAAGAAACTGGTATCAATCCCCTTGAATAATTTTCCCGTTTCTTAGAGGACAGATGATACCATCTAATTGAATAAGGCAGTAAGGCACTAAGAAGATGGTCTTGTTGTGGATAATTTCCAAGAAGTTCCTGGTTGGTGCTTTGGAGAGAGTTTGATAATCGTTATTTGTGGGATTCCGAGTATATTTTCTTACCCATCAATAACTTCATATTTTTATTTCTGACTTTAATTGGGTTCACATTTCCCCTTACTTACATGTAGGCCTTCCCATAGTCCCTCAGCTAAATTTTTTAGAAACTAGGCAGGTACTTTATTTTCTACTTATAAACACATAGCTTTAAAATAGGAATGATCTACCTGATACATGGTTCTGTTCAAAATTTTGACAAGTTATAATTGGAGCTGTGTTCCTGTTGATAGAAAAATGTTTGTACACATATCTCTCCTATGTGCCTTTTTCATAAACTACATATGTACATGGATTTGTGCTATTCATTAAATTGTAAACTCTAATCAAACATAAAAAAGGATAAAGATGGACAAATACATTAAATATCTTGCTCATTACTATACTGCTTGGCTTCATTTTCCATGTACCTAATATCTTAGTAAATATCTTTTAAAGCAAGATCCATAAAATCATTTCAGATTTCTCATCTGACTTCATGTGATTCATGTTGGATTATCTTGTGTCTAACCTCATAATGTAGCTTGTACTAAGAGTAGGAGAAATAATCATCTCTCCCTTTTCTTATTTACTTGTATTTCCCTTACTGGTACCATTCTTTACTCTGATTTTTATTTGGAGTAATCTTTTTTTAAGTTACTTTTTCTTTAAATGAAGGTTATTTTAATTAAAGCAGGTCATCCAGACTAATCCTCCGTATCTGCTTACAGTGTTACTTGTAAAATGGATTTTGTTCAGGCTAAAGAGCAGGGGAGAGTGCCACTGGCCACCTCTCCCCTTCGATGATTGCTCAGTCTTCCACCAGGGAGGCAGGTGATACACAGGACTGAGAGGGTTACTGGGTTCAGTGCATCTATTAAATATAAGTAAAAATATTTTATTTTAAATACATATTTATTTTATATTATATTATATTTTAAATATATATGTAATGGATACTTTAATATTAACCTTCCATGATGTAGTACATTATCATCCACACCCCTCTGTGAGATAACTCTGGAGGCAGCTAGCTTGTTCTCCATTTAAAAATTGACTTCCATTTATAAATGACCATAAATAAAAGATGTCCTTGAACAGTGGACAGACCCAGCAAAGACATATTTCTAGGGGCTTGTAGTAGTCCTTGTGTCTTAGTTGCTGCACCATTTTCTCTTACAACTGCCTGCGTTACAGTTTGCCAAGTGCTACCAGATTTGGAGTGAATGGTGTCCATGTGGAGCACCCGCTGCCTTTTCTGAGCTCCCATGGGAAACATGAATATGTGGCACTGAGAAAGCTAGGAAACACTTCTGGGCCCAGCTGCATACTGGCAGGGGCGTTTCAGCAGTGCCTGGGCCCTGTTTTCTAGGTTCCGTGCTTCTCCCTACACTCGTTGGTGATGGGAGGAAAAGAAATGTTAGAGTAGATAACTTGGCTTAATTCCAAGGACCATTTTTTTTCTAAAATGAGAGAGAAGTGAAGAAATCAGTGAAGATCATGGTATCATGTAAGACTTCACAGATAGGGTAAATAAGATGCCCTATCATAATTTGGAGGGTCCTCAGAGATCCTGTTATAAAAATTCCAGCCTTCCTGTCTGGAAATGCCAGAGATGGAAGTGGGGGAAATGGAGGATGGAAAACGAAATGTTTCTCCCTCATTGCGTGTGCAGTCAGGCATCACATAACAACGTTTCAGTCAATCACATGTATGACCATGGTCCCATAATATAGTAGACTGCAAAACATTCCTATTGCCTAGTGATACCATAGTCATCCTAACATTGTGCAATGCATTACCTTTTTTGTGTTTAGATATGGTTAAATACACAATATTTAGCGTTGTGTTAGAATTACCTACAGTATTCAGTACAATAACATGTTATACAGGTTTGTAGCCTACGAGCCATAGCCTATACCATATAGCTAGGCGTGTGGTAGGCTATACCATCTAGGTTTGTATACGTACATTCTCTGATCGTACAACAACGAGATCACCCAGTGACACATTTTCAGAACATATCCCCATTGTTAAACGATGCCTGACTGTAATTCATTTCAGGGGCAAGTTTGGTTTCTACCCTGTTGGAAAATTTTGAAAACTCATTTAGGAAATTCTGTCTCTGGGCATGTGCTTGGTGTCCTGAGTGGGTGGTAGCAAAGCGTGACCTGTCCCTAGCTGGATGCAATTAATGGGCATAGATGGTGTAACTTTTGAGTGAGTTGATAAGGTGCCTCTGCATTCTCTCTAGCACTTTGGTTGGAGACCTCAATATGCTGTTCTATTCTATAGGTACCATATGCCAAGTGCATTCTGTATTGATCATTCCAGCAATTTGATAAAACTGTGTTGTTACTTTATGATTGGTGATGCTAATAATGTGTTTGTCTTTATTGCTGGTATTGGTGACCCTTATTCTTGACTATAAAGGCATGGCATCTTTGACTATACTCATCTCTGCAAAAAATAAAACCCCACATATATACTCTTTTTACTTATGTGCAAACAAGGTCATCCAACCAATCCTCTTAGTAGTTTTCATTCTGGACTAAGTTGACAATATTTTTGGTAACCTCATTGTCTTTTTTCGATCATCATATATTTATTATAAACTATCAGTGACCCTGGCTTGTGCTCAGTAGTGCAATGAGAGGGTGGTAAGTCAAGGCACACACAGACACACACACACACACGCAAAGATCTTTTGTCATTGTGGTCTATTCTGTTTCCTTACACTTTGCATAAGCTCAGTTCCTTTCATCTTTACAAAACAAAATTTTCAGTGGAGATTGAGGGCAGGGATGTGGGGAGACTATATTTTTCCCCATTCTGAAAGACCAGATGAGATGTGTTTTGGCTTTTACAAAACTAAAAGGAGTTACTTTTGCATGTGTACTTTAGCATGACTTGATGCCACAGGTTAGGCAATAAGGTTGAGACTTTTTTCAAACTTAGCTTTCACAGGTGTTAAAGAAAAAATTCTCCCCACCATCCCCAGTCCTGGAGGGACAACCCTGGGATGTCTTTGAAGAGTGTTGAACATTGGAGCAGTTGAGAGTGGTTGTGGGCTATGTATTGTATTAAGTTATGCCTACCTCCTCAAAACACGTAATTAATTGGTAAGCATTGTGGCAATTTTGGAACATTAGAGTGATGTTTTGAAACTGATAAAGAAGAAGCAAATGCTGTCAAACTAATTTTTGATATAAGAAAAAGGTAGAAGGTTTTAAAGAGTAATGACACCCCCAACCTCACCCCTATTTACTTTCTTTAAACATTTTTAAGTGAGGCTCAGGTTGGCTTATTTTGTTTCCTACCTGGCTTTTGAAAACTGAGTAGGACGACACTTTCTGTAGCGTAATTTGAATACAGCATCCAGATCAGGATCTGAACTCCTGGCTTTGTTGCACATAAGAGTGGTGGGTTTTTCTTTTTTCCTTCTCTAGACCTCAGCTGAGCACATTTCAGAAATGGGGAGGGTTAGCTCGGATTGTCTATAAGGTTTTTTTCTACCTGTAATTATACCTCCTTGATTCTAAGAGATGAAAGTCCTTCAAAGTTGGGAAATGAAAGGGAAACTTACGGAATTCTATAACCTGCAGAGTTTGAATATCAATGCCATAATTTACTAGCCCTGTGGTCCTGAGCAAGCCACTTAAACCCTGTGTGCCTTAGGTATCTGCAGGGACCAAAGGAGTTTTGAAAATCAAAAGTCGTATAAAGTACATGTAGCTGTCCATTGATCACTTTGAACCTACCTGATGAGAACCCTAAAGTTAACTATCCCAGAGCTTTCGCACTTCCTCTCTGAAAGGTATCCTCAGATGACCGTTACTGTGTCCCATGTACTGACCCTTGTAGAAAGAAACCGTTCACTGGAAGAACTGTCCTGTGGCAGTTGGTGCCCATTAGCTTAAGAATGTAAAAAGACCCAGCATTCTGAGACTTCACATATAATCAGTGTACAAATATCCCCTCGGAAGACGGCAGTAATGAGCCCAGCTTTCTTGAACATCAAGGGGAAAAATTAAAAACTGAAGTTTGCTAAATGTGTGTTTTGCAGGTTGGACAATCTGCTCAATATGGCTTATGGAGTAAAGAGGTAATGATAGAGGTTCATGATACTCATAATCCCTTTCCACAGTTGATTGGTTTCTTTGATTTTGGGAGTGCTATTCACACCCCTCATAAGTTTTTGTTGGGTTTTATTTTGCATGTGCAACCTAATGAAAAGCTGCTCTTGGAAGCACAATTGACTCAAGAAATTTTTATACCACTGGATGCCACCTGGTCTTAAAAACCCATCATTTATTTCGTATTGCGTTATGACGTTATAGCATGTTTACATATGTGTTGATCCCTTCCCCTGCCAATCCTGCTTAATTCATGAAGCCAGTTCTAAATATATTTCTTTGCTATTGTGGATGATATTTAGTACGGTGAATAATGGTCATTTTATAACTTATTAATATCTCAGTAGTCTAGCATGTCACTGCAAAGCCACACACAGACCTTGGTCAAAACATCAAGTGGTTTATGTATTTGTTGGGGGAGGAGAATTACTAAAATTATTGGGGATGGAAAAGGTATAAGTTCATTGCTATAACCAACCTCTGTTTTCATTTTTTGTGTGTATGTGTGTGTTTCCTATTCTGTTTAGTAGGTTTTCTCCAATGACCATTGACGGAATGACCAGTTTGGCTGGAATTAATATCCCTGGGCACCCTGGAACAGGGTGGTGTATATTTGTGTACAACCTGGCTCCTGATGCAGATGAGAGTATCCTGTGGCAAATGTTTGGGCCTTTTGGAGCTGTCACCAACGTGAAGGTCATCCGTGACTTTAACACCAATAAATGCAAAGGTTTTGGATTTGTGACTATGACAAACTATGATGAGGCTGCCATGGCGATAGCTAGCCTCAATGGATACCGTCTGGGAGACAGAGTACTGCAGGTGTCCTTTAAGACAAACAAAACGCACAAAGCCTAATGAGCTCTTGTCCTCAGTCCATTTATATATGAAAACTATACAACAAAGGCAAGTTAAGAGAAACTTTATACATTAGTAAATGTCTTTGTAAGTCAGTGTTGAGATGGGGATAAAACGACTACTTAGCATCCTAAGAAATATGTGAGATTTTTTATTGCTAGTATTTGAATTAAAACTTCTTAAATATCTTTTATGTTTGAATATGGACAAGAGGTACAGGGTTTTTACCTGTCACATTGCATTCTATTGCCTTCTTTGAAGAAGGTGGACCTTTTAAAGTGTTTCAGCTAAGGGAAGACATTTCTTTTCTTTTTACATAACTGCCTTGAACCTGTGAGTAAATATTGAGGCTTTGTGTTGTAATTCTTCAGTTGGTTGTGTCTTTTTTTTCCCCCCTTTTTTTCCGTTTTCTGATTAGCTTTGTGTTTGGTTTACATTTAAAGCATTGCTGTTATGTCTGTTTAAGAAAAGTATTTTGAAGTTTACATTTTTATTTATGAAGTTTAAAACAGTATTTATTTTGTAATTATGATTTGGGTTGGGGAAGGGGGGGCTACATTATAAACGCTTATTGTAAGAATACTGGAGAACTTTTCGTAAAGCAGTACCTTGCCAAAGAGATAAGAGCCTCTTTGATGTGGGTTTAAAAAAAGCATCTATTTTTATAAAAAAGAAAATTTGGAGAAACTTTTTACTGGTCCTGGAACAAATATTTTGACTTGAATACTTTGAGAAATCTCTTCATATGACACCTAGTGAGCTTTTAAAATTTACCAGGAAATTTGCAGCGGTTGAAAAATTTAGAAAGATTTATGGTGTAGAAAGTACTTTTGAGATCTTTGTATGAAAGGAGTAGAATCATTGGGGGAAACACTGCTGGTTTCATTTTTGTAATCACCAGTGGAGCGTCTGATCATCCTGGTTATTATGATAGGTGGCTCACATTGATTTGTGATTTTGAAACAAATAAAAAAAATTTACAAAAGAATATATAAGAGCAGGCAAGAAATTTAAATTACCGAGAGATGGGGGAAAAATCTGTTCTTCCTAAAGAAATCCCTTCAGATAGAGCTCATGGTGTTTAGTGATGTACTTGCAGTATTGTTTGAAGAATTGTTTTGTCTTAAGGAAAAAAGACGTTGCACATGATTTGTACTGCAGCAAATCAGCAAAAGTGATCTGAGTTGGATATATTTGAAGGTATTTTGAAAGTTACGTTCAAGGCTAACACCTGAGCTTTGTGTAATGTAAATAAGACCTTGTGTTTATGAACCTTTCAGCTAATTTAATTTTTTTTCCCTTACATGCCAAGTGATGTTCAGGTTTTGAATGTTTTTGTATCAGTTTTTTCCTTTGTAAATGGCATTAACATTGTTACTTGAGGTCTTGCTTAATCACTTTTGTTGTCCTGAGGACTTGAATTTACAGTGCATCAGATTTGTTGCTAATTTCGTCTGTAGATAGTCTAGCTTCAGCTGTTTATGGTGATGCTACATTTTCGTTTATAAATATGTTTGTGGTATAAAAAAATGAGTATAACCATAGGTTTTGAACAAATTTCCTTACATTTTTCATACAAAAATCATAAATATCTGTATGCTATTGAAATTTAACTTTGTATGATGCTTAAACCACTATTTGGGGAAATAATAAAATAAGTCTTTACCATGTATGAAAGAAATTTTAAAAAATACAAAATATTTTCTGATTAGCATCTAGCTTATAATAAATTTTCAAAAAAGCTGAAGGCAAAAATGCCTTCATCAGGATGCACTGAGAACTATATAGTTACGTCCTGCTTTTTGTATAAACTGAGATGCTCACATGCTTCCCCTTAGAACAGGCAATGTGCTATGCATAACATAGTTGTACATTATCTTTGCGGTTGCTTTGAGTTTTATTTTTTATTATTTAAAATTGTAGTTATAAAATTTTTCAGTATAGTACAGTACATATACTGTGAGGCGCGTGCTAAAGTGAATAAGCGAGTTTTCATGCTGACCCACTCAATGCTATTCAGAAATCAATTGGCTTAGCACTTTCTCATATCCTTAGGTGCATTTAGATTGTCAGAGTTAACCTTCTGCGTTTAAAAAAAAAAAAAAACACTAAAAAATAAAATACATGTATATACTTAAAAAAAAATAATAAGGTTTCCCTCAAGGGAAAACAGCAGCTACATGCTTCTTTCCTATACTACTGTAGCAAACCAAGGCATTGATGAGAGGGCATGCAAATTGTGCTTCACTTTACAGTGTTTATCAGAGCACTTAATAAAATGTAAGGCTGGTATTTATTTGAAGTTGTACAGTATGACTTAATTCACATCTGTTGGAATAGAAAATATATTCTGTTGAGTATTTAAGAGGCTGTACATGTTTTCTTTTGTGTTTGGATTCTTTGTACTTTTTCATGTTCAGTACATCAATAAACAAAGTTGAAGGGAAAGAACAGTGTGGTGAGTAGGTCTTTATACACAAATCGGGCGCACCTGTGCTCAGTCTAATACGCAGACTTGCCCTCTTGAGTTAAAAGAAGTTCCCTCAGAGTTGCAGTGGAAAGCAGTGTTACCTCTTAGAATTCCAAAAGGCAAGTTAATTGAAGTAGAACACGCAAAAAATTTTTGGACTGAATGACGCCTTCTGATTAGTTTTCAAATATTACTAAATGAGTAATTCTCACAGGAGAACATACTTTCATCTGCTAGTTGTAAAGTTTGGGAAATTGGATATCAACACCATTTTATGGCTGGGATTCTACCTTCAGCTTTTTGCACAAATAATCACCCTTACACAAATTTGTATGAGTTAAAAACCAAATAGAAGGAAAGTAGCTTACTCAGCTTCCACTGGCAATCTTTAATTCACTCATGGGATTAAATGTTGGTGTGTAAAAGTTAACTTTTTTGCACACATGATAGATTGTCAAGAGATTCTTCCCTAAAATCAGAAACTCAGTTTCTATTAAATTAGTGTTGTTCTGTGTTGCACAGGTTACAAACTGTGAACTCTGCCAACCCTGTATTTCGCATACAAGTTCAGTTCTTGTATACACCCTTAACAGATCTGTGAAGGAAAAAAAGATTTCCTGCTGTTCTTTTGTGGAAGGATTCTACTTCTATAGAACTTCAGATAAATGAGTATAATAATGAAACACTTTTTTTTAAACAAAGTATACTAAATGACTTATTTTAATTTTATTGTATCTGTTGGCTTTTTTGGTAGAAGCCATTCTAAAAGTAATTGTCCTGAATTCACAACCTGCTAGTCAAGAGCATAGTTGAGTGACAAGACACTTTCTTTTTTCAACATGCAATTAGTCTTTTCTTATTATATGAATTTAATACTCTAATTTTGTGATGTTGGAACATCCTCCCCTCACCTCTCTCCTCTTGCATGCTGTATCAGTATTTTGATTGGTTTGCATGTCAGCAGTTCTTTTATAATTGAGCAGATAGTGGAAAAATTCTCAGCAAAGGAAGTTGATTTAGTAACTACTGGTATGTTTGAGGAGAAACTTCGTTTTTCTCCCTTTTTTTTTTTTTTTTACCTGTGCTTGGAAATTATGTGAACAATATTGAAATTCAGTGTTAGAGTGGCCAACATGAAATTCTTAATGTTAACATCATTTTACATTATTTTAATCTGAGGAAAAATATTAGCAATTTAACCTTACTGTTTTTTAAGATAAACAGATTTCAAGATTTCTACTCTTTATAAGAGATTTACACGTGAATTGTAGTGGAAACTGACAACTACTGGCTTACAGCGTTAACCTAGAACAAAGAAAATGTGTTTTTTAATAAGTTTGTTGAAATTGTAGTACCTAGGCCTATTAACCTACTTATGGAGCAATATGCCATATACCTTTTACTGGGTAGAATAAAAAAAGGGAAACATTTAGCTTTTTTATGCCTCTATTATACTGGCACCTCGAACAGTGGGATCAAACAAATACTGATAAAATCATGACAGTTTATTACTGGATGAAGAGCATTTACAGTCTGTCACTGCAGTTAATAGTCCATATTTCTCTACTTCTAGTAGTATTCACACTCTTCCTTTGAAAATTTCCAAAAGTAGGCCCATTTCCCTTCAAGTTGGAAAGACTGAATATTTACACCACTAATACAGGCATCCTGTGGATATAGGATGGACCTTGCTGAAATTAACCTTTCTAGAATTCTGGCTCATAGAAATAAACAGATTTTTTGGTTGGTCAACACATAGTTAGCTATCTGCTGTGCCCTGGGTCTATAAAAGTGAGCAAAATACTGCTCTTACCTTCTTGGATACCACCTAGAAGGGAGGACAAACAAGCCAAACAAGCCAGCAGGTTACGACTGCAACGTCCTAAGTGCTGTGAGAGTCCAGGAGCAGCTGTCAAACTAGTTTGCTGTAGTTTTTATAAATCCAGTTACAACTCACAAAAGTAAAACCTGTTCTACTCCTCTTATGGATGCTTCTTTCCCTTTCTTGGACTAATTATTGGCTGATTGTTTAATTTTCAGTCTGACAGTGGTATCACTTAGTTTTGCAAATCTTTGAATGCTCTCATACTCAAGTTGTCCAGATCCTTTCTTTAAAAAACGCGAAGCTACTGATACACAATAAGACACTGTCTATCTGAATAATTGGATGGTGTGAGGTATCTGACTGGATAGTCTTGCTCTCTCTAAACATAATCTATGGAGTGACCATTTTGAATGTACTAATATAGTAAAGTACTCTGGATATTAAAAGTATGATTGGTGGGTTTTACCCTACCTTAAGACTCACCACTATCTTAGGATCTTAAACTTATTATTAACATTACTTTTAGTTTAAGTAACTGAAGATGTAGGGGAGGAGTACATTAATACTTAGCCTCAAAAACACTCATAGGTGTTTTTTTCAAGTAAGTACCTTATAGCAACCTTATAAATAAAACTGTCTATTTCTGCAGACATAAATGTGTGGAAGACATGCCTTTCTGCTCTCTTGGAGCCTGTCATGCTCTAGAAGATTACATCTGCAAGTAACTGCAGTAAAGTGTTGTACACAAAGTGCGTTAAAAGAGGAGGAAGGGGAGACTCCTAATGTTGCGTGTAATCGGGGAGACGGTTGTTCCTGGGATGGGAATGCTGAGTTACACAAAAGTGGCAGCAGTTGAGCTGGGTCAGTTAGGGTAGGTGGGATTTTTAAAAGATACCAGGGGAAGCAATTCAAGAAGAGATCCCTGTGATCAAAGACATAGGCAAGCCTCTATCTACTTCTATTATTTCTGGAGAATTAATAAGTCATATTCAGTGCAGACTTACGAGGTCTTGGACATTTTTGTGCCCTTGACTAGTTAAGTCTAAAAAATACCGAAACAGCAAAACTTTTTGCTTTCTTGCCCATTTCTACTGAAATACTAAAAATTATTTGCCATGATAGATTATGTGTGGTTTGGGGAGTTCCATAGAACTTGCTAGGGACATTCCTCTCTTTTAAAACAGACATTTATTTGGGGTGTGTCAGGCAGTCAGTATATGTGAAAAGATCAAACAAAAACAGAATCTCCAGCAAAGGAATACTGATCTGTTTCTCCAACTATTATACCTATCAAACTCTATTGTTAACATGATAAAAGTGATCATTTATTAGGATTTATGCTATTTCTACGTCACAGTACCTGATTCATTCCTTTCTTGGATATGTATTTTACACTCTTCTTAACCTGTATCACTCAAGCATCACCTTCATCGAAGGCAAGAGAAAATTAAAATTCAAATATTTCTCAGATATTTGTAAGATGAGGTTTTAGTTTGATAGGTTGCCTTTTTGTTGTTGTTTTTTGTTTTGTTGTTTTGTTTTTTGGTGCTTGGAAACTCAGTAACCATTTCAATGATGAACCTTACTGATTTTTTCAATCCTGTAAGGCCCTTTGACCTACAGGTTGTCGATAGCCATATGCTATCTCTAATGTTGATTTTCATGGTATGCTCCTTTTGAGAATCCTCCTCGTCCTGTTGAATGCATGCTTCAGAAGCCACCTGCCCATCTGTGGATTTTCTTGCAGACATGATGAGACCAGCAGCCACTCTTAGGGTGACTCACCGTTTGGAATGAAACACAGTTGGCAAGGTAGCTTTGTTATCTGGATTGCGGGTTTTTGATTGCAGTGTGGCAAAGGTACAGCAGCTGACCATGAGAATGGGGGAGGGATGTCATGACCCATAAATATGTGTAGGCATCCAGAAGATGCAGTGCTTTATTCCTTGGATGTTGAAGAAAAAAGCAGCCCATCAGGAAGTACCATTGAGCACCTTGTTGAAAGAAAACCCCCGTACTTCTACATCCATATTACCGATCATCTACTTCTTTAAAAATGTTGTTATGCTTTAGGTGGTAATAATTACAAGAAATACTGCATATTTTCACACACACACACAAACCCTGAGTTACTATCAGAAAGGTTAAGCAGATATTACTATAAATGCTGAACCAGAAATTGCAGTTGTTACTGTATTAAATGTTCTTTAGTAGAAATTTCATCTCTCAAGAATGGTTGCTACAGTGTGTGGTCTGTGTGTAGAGAACTGTGTTGTTGAATGTATTCTGTTTTTCAGGAGTTACTCTTAAAGAAGTACCTGTCTTCTATTCATACAATGCATAAGTAAACTGCTACTTATGTTTTCTGTCTTAAGATGGCCTGAGGACCAGATGATAAGCCAAGCATTCGATCTTTCCTACATAAAGGTGGTGAGAACTTTTCATAAATTTAGTCTGAAACTTATCCTAATCCTAATAATGAAAATTTATTTTATTTTTTGCTGAAATAGTAGTACATTTTAAAAGTTGTGCCTCCCAAACTCTTTTATGTCATGAGTGCCTTTCCTAAGGGGGAAGAACCTTTATCTCCACACACGTACAACCACTTCTAGGCCTAGCAGCACACCAGAGCTTATGTGTGGGAAGCTCTGTTTTAAATACTTTTTTAAAATTTCCATCCTTTTACTAAGTGTACATAAGCGCCTGCTCTGTACCAGTCACTGTGTTGTAAGATTTAGGCTGAAGACTTAATTTATGTTCTATTTCTCTGTCCGGTTTTGAGTTGGAAGACATTTCAGTGGTCTTGTTCACCACACCTTATTTTGCAGATATATGAGCCAGACCCAAAGAAGTTAAGGTTCTCCAAGATTTTTTGCTAGCCTGAGACCTGGCACTTAAACCCAGCCCTCCCCACTCTTGGAACTCTGTCCTTCCTACCATCAAAGTACTAAAACACAAGCTGAATTAACTTTTATAAGCTGTGTCCTTTTATGACATCAGAGTTTTGAAATCCTTCAGGGTATGTATGGCATCTAGAATTTGGACATAGGTAAGTGCATATAGTATTTTTTGATGTGCTCAATATCATTTACCTCCCTTAAGAATAATTTCAGTCAATAATAACATAGTCACTGTCGAAAATGTATAAAGTACAAAAA